AGGTTTATTGGTTAGTTGTTTGTTTTTGGAGATAATTTTTATACGTGCTTGTTTTTGTCTATGGTTGATCTTCGTTCATCGCCTTTTATATACGACATTTTGTGAAGAGGTCGTTGCCTATGTGGAAATAGTTTTCTTAGTGCTTAATCAACTACTTAGCATACTTTTTTTTAACCTTATGATTAATTAGGGTTCCTTGCGAGAGAAAACCTTCGTTATGATGATTGGTTCAAATACATCTCATCTGCACACTACTTGGCCGAAATTATAAGTCAATTTTTCAATGTGAATCTAGTTGGGTTAGGTTTAAAGCGAACTATGTGCATGCGTTCTTACGTACAATTTCCCGAGCCTTTGATAAAAGATGCATGAGTCCTTGTGAGATCATGGTGCATTGTATCTCGTTCTCATTTGCTATAAATAACGACCGTATAGTTAAGTTGCCTTTTACCAAATGCTTAACCTGTAAGCACTTTACTAGCATGAGACATCGCACTCACTTACCTTATCGTGTAACATTCTCGACCATTAAAATGGATTGTTGGTAAGCGTCTTAAACCCAGTAAGCGCTTATTGGGTAAGAGTCTTTTCTTTCACGTACAAAGTAAGACTCTCGGTTCTTGCTATGCCTCTTACCGGTTAAAATTCTTGGTTCTTTATATGCTCAATTTGTAAGATAAGTGATATCGTAAGCGCTTATCCAGGTGGCAAATCTTGTTTTTGCAGCAACTCAAACACAAAGATGGTACCATCATAAATTCGATGATTATCCTTGTAACCAGTATGCAATTTTTTTCGTTTCTTTATTAGCTAGGCATATAATTAAGATGTTTGTGTAAAGTTGTTTGTTTTGCACCGTTATATTTGCCAATGAAAAAAAACTCATGGTATAAATTAGTGGTACAACGACTGTAGATGATGATCTAAAGGTAATTTGATCGGTTGAATAGATATGGTCATGAATCATAGCTCTCTGGGTGTAAACGGGTTGGAACTGGGAACGGGTCCATAACAGGTTCAGAAAGGTTCGGTTGTAACTCGTTGGAGAAAAAATTGTTGTCCCACAATGAAACGAAAACACCTTAAAATTATATATATTTTAAATTAATTTTATTTAAATTCATACTGTTTTTTAATAATGATAATGATGTGTATTTATGTGATTGGTTTATACATATAAATTTGAAACCAGATCTAACACCCGACTTTTTTTGGATGGGTTGAGAAATTGATCGTTGTTTATAATCAAATAAATACGATATTTTTTTAGTTGGAATTTAATATATATTATATTTAATTTTAATTTAATTTATATTACATTAAATCTCGTTTTTAATAATACAAAAAAGTAAACTTCAATACCAAGTGGTACAAAAAATGCTAATATGAAGTATAGTTTAATCATATATTAAACTACAGACGTGGTCTCTGTGGTTTCTTTTGTAGTTTCGAAATTATAAGATGGTTATCATGATTTATGAAAAATGTTTGGATTTGATTCCTTTCTCTAACAGTTATTAGAAAATTCTATTAAATGAGGAGTATTTTTGTCCTTTCTATCAGTTGTTGTCTTTTACTCAATTGAAAATCACAGGGACTAATTTGATTAGGTAAAACACAAAAAATCCATAAGATGACTAAAATGCCTGTTATTTAATAGAATTTTTTTTAATGGCCATTAGACGAAGGGCAAATCTAGACGTTTTTTCAAACCACGATGGGTATCTTGTAATTTCAAAACTGCAAGGACGAAAAATGTTATTTTCGACAAACCATAAGGTCCAAATTTATAGTTTACTCCTAATAATAAATGTACCAAGTGAAAGTTAAAAAAGAAAAACTCAGTGCTTAGCCTTACCTTTACCTGGTAACTAGTTATAACCGAGAAAGGCTACGGCTTACCCGGTTAAGCCTCCATGTGGTAAGAATCAGAACGGTTAACCGGCATTCTTTCTGCTTTTGGTTTCCAAGCCCAAATACTTGACGTAATTTCAAAAGCTTAAAGTAGGATTTAATAAATGGAAGAGTCTAAAAAAAACAACAAACATTTATATTTTGAATGATTAAGTCCATAAATTATTTTTTCAAATGAATTTAAACTTTCTAATTTTGAATGATCAAGTCTATGGACAATAGTTTTTTTTAATAAATAAACCATGGAAGTTAAAAAAATTGGTTATTTACATATTCTTTAACCAAAATCAGCTTTATCATCCCAAGCCCTACGACATTCAAACTCTTGCACCAATGACATCGCCACTTCTAGTCACTCCATTATCGTTCGTTCTCCATACCGCTCACCGCTGATGTTTGCTACTACTGTCGATCTCTCTCTTTTTTATATGTTTTTTGTTGTTCAATCCTCTTTTACAACAAATTAATGGAGTACGTATAGATAGATCAAAAAGAGGGAGAATCGGGAAAAAAAAACTGATCAAAATGAGGGAGATTGATGATTGAGGTTAACGGTGATAATGGGTTGGGCAGTGATAGGAAAAAAATATGGAGCGACGAGGGGAGCGATGACTTTAAGTGTGAGAGGATTGAATGACATAGGGTTTGGGAAAGGTAAAACTGATTTAAGCTTTTTTTCCTGCTTTAAAATATTTCTAGTCGGTTATAAGTAGTTTTTTTTGTTAAAAGAATTCAAGTAACCAATTTCTAAAAGTTTAATGGTTTATTTATTCAAAAAGTGTTCAAAGACTTAATCATTCAAAATGAGAAAGTTCAATGATTTATTCATTTAGAAAAAGTACAGGAACTTAGGCGAAACATCATGTGAGAATGAGGGTTAATATGAAAAGCGTAAGAAGGAATCTGTACCCTTGATCACCTTTAATCTCAAACCCACTCATGAATCACGTTTGATATGAAGATTGATCTGGTGTATCTCATCCTAATGTGCATTCAAGGGTGGAAATCCCTTCTTACGTTTCTCACATTGGCTTTCATTTTCACCGGAAAACCCAACCCCATGAACTAAATTAATCAAAACGGGAAAGTTTATTAAGATCTTTTGAGTCATTCAAAATAAAAAAATTTATTGGATTTTTTGAACTTTTTTCCATAAAAAAAACTAAGCAAGTCTAAAACTTTTTTAGATCTATTCTTACGCAGATCGATTAATTAATACTAGAAGGGTACTCGCACAATGCAGCGTGATACATCTCGGTTTTAATATTTTTTTTTTGTCTCGGTCGATATTATAAAACGGTTTTATATGGTTTTGAGAAAACGATAATGTTTTTATTTTTGAATAAAATATAGATATAAAGATATATCATAAAGAATTGAAAAAAAAAATTGATATGGTACCAAACTAACTATTTAAAATTTATCTTTTTTGTTTATTTCTTTAATTCATTTTTTTATTTTTGGTTTAATAATATAACTTTTTATAAAGATAATAATTAAGTATTTTGTTATAATTCAGTAATTATCCTAATTATATTTTGAATGTTTTATATTTAAAATATAATATTTACCCTCTATTTGATTATGTTTATCTGCAGTTAATTAGACGAATTCGAACATGAAGCTTTAATAAGTTGTACTTACGCACAATTTACTTGTAATATTAGATTTTAAGTAATATACATCAATAAACAGTACTTCATGCATAAAAACTGGTTTTTAAGAGTTTTTGTCAAATGCTTTATAATATAGTATAGATTATGTTTCAAGTTCATTTAGGCCGTGTCACCTCTTAGACTTCATTTGTCAAAATAATTGATAAGTTAGCTATTAACTGATAAACTAATTGATGGTTAAAACTAGTTGATGAACTAACTATGTTTGTCAAAATTTGGCCAATAAGCTCGTTAAAAAATACAATATAACAAAAAATTACATGTTAAAAGTCTAGTCAATTTAACATTTCATAAAATGTTTAAAACAGATCATTAATAATATAATATGTTAACTAATACAAATTAGATGGTAAATCTAAGGAACAAAATAGTATCATGTCCTTGGATTGGGTTCAAATGACCACTAACTCAATACTTACGGGTTAAAAATTTTACAATTCAATTAAGCGTTAGATGACTTCATGCTAGGTTATTTTGGGTAGGCGTGCATAAAAAAACCAATTAATCCAACCAACCCAACTCGAAATAGCCCAACTCAACCTAACCTGAAGCCACTCGATACCTAGTCGAGATGTGAAATCATCAAACCGTAAGTATTGAGTTGAAATTGGATTAGGAGCATTTGGACGCAACCCAACTCTTTCTGTAGCGCATATTTAGTACGACTGTTAAGTCCTTAATTAATATATGTAATTGTTAGCCTTAACAGAAAGTCTCATGCAAAACCTTTTAATGTCTCTTGTGTAATTGTTAATTTATTTGTATGCTCTCATTTTGATTTTTTACTATATTTAAACACAAAAACAGTTAACTAGATCATAAAATGATATACTAAAGTTTTAACCCAGCCAATCCGACCAACCCAGCAAACATTGGGTTGGATTGTTCAAATATTTCAAATTCAGCCAACCTAACCCGTGTCCAACCCTAGTTTTGGGTTGGGCTAATCGTTTTGGTCGGGTTTTTCCAAACTGCTAAAAGAGTAAATTACAATTTCGTGTATGGTTTGTTAATAATTTCAATTTGCGTACGTGTGGTTTAGAATATCGATTTTCATTGTTATGGTTTGTAGTTTATTGCTATTTTTGTCCCTGGACTAATTCCTACCTCCAAAAACAAGGGATAAAAAACGGTAAGATATTGTAAACCATAGGGACTAAAACAATAATAAATTATAAGGATGAAAATGGCAATTAATTACAAACCTAAGGACGAAAACCACAATTTCCAAATTACAGGTACTAAAGTTGCAATTGTTAACAAACCATAGACACCAAAAACGTAATTCACTGTTGTTAAAATGATTTTATAAAACACACCCTGTAAAACTAGTTATTGTCTTAAACGCCCCAAACAAGAAAAGTGTTTTCAGCCCGTATAATCAAACCTTTCTACATACTCTCTGCAGCCATCGCCAAAACCTCTTCGTTCATCATTCTCACATCAATCCATATCAATTCCTACAAGCAATCTCCATTCAGTTTCGCATTACCTTCTCTTGACAGAATTTAGTGGTGTTGGAACAGTAGTGCGCATCGTTATCAGCAATGGCTGACGCTTCCAACGACGCCAAAGACATTGAAAAGCTCTATGTGTATGGAGAACGACTCAGCGAGGCCAAAGACAAGTCTCAGGTTTTCAATGATTTATATTTCTAGGGTCTTTTTGCGATGAATATTGAGAAATTAGGGTTTTTATATTGTTTCTTTTGGTATTGCTGTTGCTGTATAGAATGTGGACGATTACAAGAGTATTATTGAGGCAGCAAGAAGCTCAAGTGTAAAGGCGAGGCAATTAGCTGCTCAACTGATTCCTAGGTTCTTCAAGTTCTTCCCTGGTTTATCGGGGACTGCAGTCGATGCACATCTGGATTTATGTGAAGCAGAAGAGCTTGGGGTTAGCGTTTTTTTAAATTGAATTAGTTTTTGGATATTTGTGTAGTTAGAGCTGGTACTGGTATATTGATGCCATAAAGCAATCAACAAGTTATTATGTTACAAGATTAAGTAACCTTTGCATTCAACGTTTATAATCACAGAATTAAAACAATGTAATGGATGGACAATCAAGGACAGAGCTTTAGGTCGAAAGCTTGACTGTTAGTACAAGAATTTATTATAAGAGAACCAGAATTTGAAAGATGTAAGGAACATGCATAAAATATTAGCAGAGTAATACACTGCTGAGTAACATAATCAAGTTAGCCGTTAGCATGCCCACGTGTGCTTATTGACACACAACTAGTCTCATACACCTATGTATACATGACTACCTAAGTTGCAAGGAAGAGTTAAATTGATGATTAAACGAAGTTACATTAGTGTCAGTTGTTGAGAAAGAAATCAAGAACGCCCATTCCAAATGGAACCTCAATGCCTGGTAGTTGAATGTAAATGCTAATGTAGCCAGTGTCTTGCTGATGCTAAAGCCCATTGAGTTATTTAGCAATTTAGCTAATCTAATTTGAGCCATCTAGAGAATGACAATGTTCATATACCAAAGCTAATTAGATTCTATAGTACTGCATGTATTTCATTAAGGGGAAACCAATATCTTGTAAACTAATTACGTTTCTTAATGTTTTTGTAATTTGTGTGGGGCTTAATGCCAAAGGTGATGTTCCAACTGAAGGAGAATCTTGAACCACAATTTTGATTACGTATAGGCACATGTTAGAACTCGCTTTGGTTCAGGACCTGAGGATGTATTAATGCTTAAGCTAGCAGGTTAGACAATATTGATGGTGAATGATAGAAGTTACGGTGGTAAATAGTCTGTCAGTGAGTGCAGTTTAAATTCCTAACATTGCTCATCGAAGCCTTTGATCTATGTATGACTGGTCTGCAGGGTTGTGAAGAGGCCACATCATCATTGGAATATGGGACTTTTAGTGTTGGGGGAGTATAAGAAACAGGTTTCTGCACATCAGTTCACTAATTAACATGAAAGTGGTCCCACACATCCAAGTATCTGGCATTGCTGGGGTTGGCTGTGCTATATCGGAACTTTCTCTACAGAGCTATCTTTCCCAAGAGTAGCAATCCTTTTAAAGCAGTGGCCACTTGGAAGAAATTACTCCTGGGTATATATTACACATATTAGGTGTATCAATAGATAATTGAGTGGTGGTCTACTTCCATATGCACTTACCCAGCATTCACTTTTGCAAGGACGGGGCTATGCCCAATGGGTAAGCTTGCTTACTATGACCTCAAGGTTATACACACATTAGTTGTGGTAAAAAACTGATAGTTGAGTGATGGTCTATCATCATATACTCTTACCCAGCATTAACACTTTCAAGGTTAGAGCTCTGCTAAATGGCATGCTTGTGGTTACTATGACCTCAAGTTCATGGTTAATAATGAGAATGCAGAGGGTGGGCAAGGGAGGGGTAGTTTGGAGAAGGCAGAGGGTGGGCAAGGGAGGGGTAGTTTGTAGAAGGTAGAGGGTGGGCAGGGAAAGGGTTGTTTCTGTTTTCTTTTTCCTACTTTTCATGTCTTAATTAATGCATTTACATGCGTGACTCTTTTATTGTATGTCAACTTTAGTTTTTTTGCTACTTTACCCACCCACTTCCTTTTAATTTTTGTTCTGCAAGTCGGGGGTCTTCATGGAAACAAGCTCTTTACCTTAAGGGGTAGAGGCAAGGTCCGCCGCATACATCCTACCTTCATACCCTAGTATAGAGGCTTGTACACCTGAAATTCTTTGCATAAATTTGTTTTGTGGACGAAGCACACACTTCGATGATATCTCTGTGTTTATTTTAGTGCACATGATAAATTTCTCTTGCAATTGCTTGCATAAGAATTCCTTTCAGCTGAAGTCCTTTGCTCTTAATATTTTTGGTTGTTCATTTCGTAAAAGATACGGGTGCAAGCGATCCGTGGACTTCCTCTTTTTTGCAAGGATACACCAGAGCATATTTCGAAGATTGTTGACATACTTGCACAACTTCTCATAGCTGGTAAGTTTGGTTTTTAAGTTTTTATTTTGACTAACTGCACTGAGATATATACATGTGACCTCAAGTACTTCAATTTTTCCAGAGGAAAACGTGGAACGTGATGCAGTGCATAAAGCTCTTATGTCCTTATTGAGACAGGATGTGAAAGGTAAATTATATTACAATCATGCTATTAAAGCTTGCAACTAGCCTTCTATCAATTAACCAGTTTAAGGTACATCAGTGATGCTATGCATGTTTTGCAATTTGCTAGACACCGTTTTAAATACCCAACCTCTTATAGCAAAATATAACAAGGGAGAAACTTGTGACCGGGGGGGAGGGAATCAAAATGAAAATATGGAAACAATTTTGTGTTTTGCACTGAGCCGGTGATCAATCTAGAAGAAAACACTGAATTGTTGATCTTGGGTAACTACTGGAAATAGGGAGGTTCAGTTGCATGTCCAATGCTCTTTTTTCTTTTGAAATTCCGAGGTTATTATTAGGAAGTGGAGGACAGGGGGAGGATGTACCTTCCCATTATCTATTGTGAGTGTTATAAGACACATCCTTCCTGGGACATCATTGTAGGGATGGTTGGTGAAGTGTGAACCTTATTATTATTGAGAAAAACGAAATTACTATTTGGGACATGAGGGCGATGATAAGGAGTGTATAGGAAGCAATTTATATTAATGCATATGCAGGGTTCTTCCAAAGGTGCTGAGTTGTACTGAGCTGACAGAACTCCTAGATGATATGTGCTGTTATAAGAACTCGTACATGCTACATAACAACCGTTGAGACAAAATTAAAACCTGAATACCTGATGGATCTTTACTTTTTTTATTATGTCTATAGTAATATTTACGATATTATATGATTCTCAGATTTAAAATCCCTTTAATTTTTCTATTGTCATTTTGTGTTCTCTTATGTACTTCCTTCATGTTTGGTGCCAATGTTGCACACTTTGGAATAGTAGGATAACTTTGGTTCTACCTATATCAGTCACTGTAACTGTAAACTAATAATATATGCTTGCAGCATCCTTGACGGCATTATTCAAGCACATTGAGAGCGTTGATGAACCAGTTACAGATGATAATCTTCGTGAGAGGACCTTGATCTTTATCAGGGACAAGGTGAGAAGACCAATTTTTGATGCCTGACGATGATTGTAATTTTTTATTTCAAAATGCAAATAGTGTCTAATTAAACATTTTACAGGTGTTTCCTCTGAAATCTGAGCTCTTGAAGCCACAGGAGCAGATGGAAAGGCATATAACTGATCTAGTTAAAAAAGTATGTTCCTAATATTATCTTTTACAGGTTTACTTAATATTCTTTGTAATCACTTATATTTCTCATTTTACCATTTAGCTTCTGTTTTTTATATGCTTTAAATTACAAAAATCCGGATTATGTTTTTTGAAGTTCGGTTTTATATAGTGCACTTCAGCTTAATTTGGTAACTATACTAATGCGCTTCAATTGCATTACGTTGCAGAGTTTACAAGATGTTACTGGAGCAGAGTTCAAGATGTTCATGGACTTTTTAAAAAGTTTGAGCATATTTGGAGAGAAAGCTCCTACCGAGTGTGTCCAAGAGCTTGTTGAAATCATTGAAGGACAAGCTGATCTAGATGCACAGTTCAGTGTGAGTGTGTGATGTTTTTTTCTGTTTCTTTCACTGTCTATATTTCTGGTGGGCATTCTTAGGCTACAGGATACATTTGGTTGTAGTACATATATACAAGCAAAATGATTGTCAGATTTGACGATGCTCCGTGCATGTTTATAGTAATTATGAAGCAGTTGTGCTTTTCCTAATTTTCTGAAGCTTTCCCTTACCAAAAGGCAGGCAGTTCAAGATTACTAGTTTTTACGATATTTTGAACCTAGGTAGGAATCGAGAAAATTATTTGAGCTTGATTGTGGAAAGTTCTGTTCATTTTAGGCTAGTTACATCGTTTTCTGACATAACAAGAGATCACTCTTGATGAGTTCAATGTGTGTATATGAATATATGATGGTACATTTTTATGAAAGATGAACTTGTAAGCAACATTATTCCAATACAGACCAGGGAGGTGGATTTGAGCATCTGCAGTAGCTTCAGGTCAAAACATATGACACATTAGCACTCTTTGCATGGTGATCTTAAGTTTGAAGAATCTAATATTAACAGAGGCTCCACAAATGCTGGCTATAATTTACTTAGAATTTAGTTTTCCATTTAATCCAAGTACGAGGTTGTTGAACTTATTCTATGAGGATCTCTCTTCAACTGGGCTTGCACTTGGACGAAATAAAGCTGTGATTAGTTTGTGATTGCACTGTGTAAAAACCAGACAAAGCTAATGCAGGAGGAGGAGATCCGCTGTAGCAGGAATTCAAACATGTTTAGGACCGAGGCACTACAAATTTGGAATCCATCCATTAATCTTGTGAGCTAATTTACATTCCTGGTTAGAAGGAATTCCATCCACTGGAGCAAAAATTAAGGTTCACAGGTTCTATGAGAATGCCATTTATCTCTGCACAAACTAATGGATGGAATTGAATTTGCTGTATTCTTCTGTTCCTTGTTCTGTTCGGTTAAAATTGGCCTTACAATTTAACTGTGCTCTGATTTCTTGGTTTCACTTTTAGCCTACCTTAAGTAGTTTGAGATGAAGGGCTTGTCATTGTTGATGACGAATTTAGCAGTCTGTTTTAAGCATTAGAACAAGAACCATAATTTCTTCCCAGCTTAAATGGAATCCTTGGAAAGATGCTTAAAATGGTTTATGGTTGCTCAATCGACTCCTTTGTATTGCCAGGAGTCATATCATGTTGACAGATTAATCTCCATCAAGCTCAGATGGTTTTGTTGGTTGGATATATTGGACTTGGTAACAGGTCCTAATATGTTAGTCGAGAGGGCCTTGATTTCTTTTGAAAGGGACAGTATGCACCTCTACTTATAATGTCCTCCATGATCTTCTCCCAAATAGAGGAAAGGATCTTTTCTGGTACTCCCAGTGAGGCTGGGCTGTAATGCTTTTCTTGAGGTTTCGCTTCAAGTAGAGGAGTTAGATCTGTTGATGGTTGCTAAATGGATTTGTCACTAAGAGGCATCTGCTGTATCAGTTAATAGAAGCGCAACATCTTCCTTTGTATATATGGTGTACTCTGATTCTTTGTTTCATGTTGTCAACACTTTAGCTCAGGCTGCGAGCATTATTTACTTAACTGAATTACATCTTGTCATCTGTTTATGCTAACTACTTGGGGCTAGTTACAAGAATCTAGTTCTATCAAGCCGCAGATGATTCTCATTATTGTTATCCATGTAATTATCGTCTTTTTCTGCCTTGATGTTTCAACGTATGCTGATGCTGTTTTTATTTCTTTGTTGCACAACTATAATCATTCAAGAGTTTAAGAATTTCACATGTCATTACATGTGGTCCATGGTTCCCGGTCCCATCACTTTCTACCACAGAACTTGTCAGATATCAGCTCTTTGTTAATAATCAAGTTTCTTTATTTCTGTTGTTTTGTTCAGGTCCATCCATTTTCCTTTTTAGGCTTTTTAATTTTGCCTTTTTCACCTTTTTCACCTTTTGGTCCATATGGATCTTTTTGGTGTGGACGAAGTCCTCATGATCCATCTAGTTTCTAAAAAAAAAAAAATGTTGTGATGGAACCTAAATATTGTAAGCGGCATAATCCTTACGATTCCCTTCCATTTTCTTTTTTCAAGACCATTACACTTTTTTCTGTATATAACTCTAAACTTTGGTGTAACTTGCTGAGTATGTAACTTTTGCTGACTATGGCCATCAAAATGCAGGTTTCAGATGGGGACCATGTTGATAGATTAATATCATGCCTATATATGGCTCTTCCATTCTTTGTAGTACGTCTCTTTGGTGTTTATATTAATTGTTGCTAGCTCCAGCAGATTGGCCTTTCTTTTGAACTGAAGTCCTATATTATATGCAGAGGGGTGCTTCAAGTAGCAAGTTTCTCAATTATTTAAACAAGCACATTCTCCCTGTTTTCGATAAGGTAATAATCTTTGTCCTTCTATTCAATATTAAAAAATTAAATATTCAAATTGTTCTTTTTTACATTACAGGMATTGATAAGAACTAAGAAATAAATATGGGAACCGGATTCGATTCCATCTTACTGGAATAGTCTACCAACAAAAGAAACTATTCTTATTTGATTGAAGTTACAGCTTAGAATAACCTCAATCGAATAATCATTGTATGATGAAAATAGAATAACCGCCCATTTTTTCTCGTGTTAATCACCTTTGCAAGTATTTTGTCTTGCCAGAATGATTATACTTGTGTCATTGGGTCATTATTGGCATTATTCTTACTGTTATTCTTTGAAAGGAATATAGTGGCAACAAACTCCCAAATTATCATTAATGTGGCATTGTGATCTTAAGGACACTGGTCTTGGGGAAGACACAAGTATATGGAAATTTTGCTCTTACAAGCCTTTGGCTATTAGTTTTATTATCTAAATAACACACTGGGAGGAGGAGAATGATCTTACTTATGTGAGAATGGGGAATTTGAAGACTCTTGGCATGTCTCTCTATGTTTTATTTATTTCTGATGCTAGACATCCTCTCTCTGACACAAGCTCTCTATATTCTATCATTTGCTATGGGCTCTCACATACAAACTTGCATTTCAATCTACTGATTTTGGTGTTAGTTTGACTTCTACTTATATCAAAAAGGCGATTTGAGTTGTGTAGAAGTAGCATTGGCTTTTGGTCTAATTTTATATAGATGTGGATGAGACAACATCGTTTGTACATCTTTTCTCTTTTAGTCTTTTTTTGGTAAAGTTTTCTTTTTAGTCTGTACTTTTGGTTAACAAAAGAATCTCTTAAGTGTGCTCCTATTAGCAGCTCAAGTTTCTGTATTTTTCTCAGGAAGATGCATTATTTGCTTAAATTTGGTTATGTATCAATATACATGCAATATTTTCCATCTTTAATGTCTTTTATTTGTAACAATGTTTCTATGTATTTTGCACCTGATACTAGTAGCAATATTGTTGATGATTAAATATAATTTTAGATCTGATGCCTTAGGTTTGGTGACTTAAACTTAGGCACCACAAGCTATTTACTGCATAGTTGCAATGGAGAGACCAGATATTAGTATGTGAACATAGTGGATATTCAAATAGCAGTTTGACAAATAACTAATCATTTATTTTTGGATGTTTTATATTTGAAATCCTTTGTTCATGATTGAAGGTAATAGGGAAGCTTTGGGATGGAATGTTCTGTTTTTTTCACCCAGGAAATGGCTTGTAGAAGTTCCAAGATATATATTTCTCGTAGGAATTAGGTTTAAAATTATTTGATGGATAGGGAGATTGAATGATTGATATCCCCTAACATTAACTCATAGTTTCTTTGCTAACCATTCATTTCCTTTGCAGCTTCCTGAAGAACGGAAAGTAGACTTGCTCAAGAACCTTGCAGAGAGTTCACCTTACTCAGCACCTCAAGATTCGAGGCAGATCCTTCCCTCAAATGTTCAGCTCTTGAAGGTACACTATTGTTTCCTGAAAAGGTGCATATTGATTGGTTTGTCTAAGCACTCTTCCTGAACCGAAAGAAATGCAAGCCTGTATGTATTCTGAGTTCAATTCCTTATATTCTTTCTAGTCTTCTTGTAAACAACCCGGATCAAATAGTTACAAGTTTGGCTGAATGTCCTCGCTCTTGGTTGATTGCATGTGGTGTTTAAGTCATTAACTAGACTTGACGTAGACCCCCTTCTATTTATGTTTTGCTGGATTCTAGACTTGTCCTACTTCCTTGGAGATTTTGATTCCTTTTATTTGAAGCTATTAGCATAAGCCTTAGTTAACCTACAATTTGTCGTGTAGTACCAAAAAAGGTTTCTTTTTCAAAATAATAATGCCTTCATGTTCTTATTATGTTACATTCCAAAATTAAGTTAATCTGCTTCTGTTTGTATGTTTTGTTCTATCAAGTTCCTATGTTCTAGTTCCACAAATTTTTTGAGCAAATTTTGTCTTTACTTTTCACACACTTTGCACAAGCCAGGAGTCTTCACGGACACAGCCGCTCTACTCTTTTGGATAGTGGTCAGGTCTGCATAAATCCCACCCTCCCCAGACCCCGCCCCAGGTGGACATACTGGGCTTGTTTGGTTTGGTTTGGTTTTTATTATGTTACATATCAGTGTTATTATTGCTATTTTGACATTCTTCATGTGTAACTCTTTGATCTAAATGATGAGTAAGCTATATTTTAACTATAGCTTTCTGCAAATTAGTGCATTGTGGCTTGTACTTCCTGTAATGTACTTCTTGTCACGTTTCTTTATCTCAGAAGTATATGCCTCTAAGGAAAACCGGAGAAGAGATGAACTTCACATATGTTGAGTGTTTGTTGTACACGTTCCACCATTTAGCTAACAAGGTGAGCGTTCTTTATAATAACGTGTTTTGGCATTTCTTATACCATCCAGCTGTTGAATGTCTGATTGGCGTTTATTGTAAGACAGGCTCCAAATGCCACTAATAGCTTATGCGGTTATAAAATAGTGACCGGGCAGCCATCAGATAGGCTTGGTGAGGACTTCACAGAGTTTTACAAGGATTTCACGGAAAGGTAATTTGTTTGTAATGGCCTCAAATGTTTACTTTTTGCTTCTCAAATCAAGTTCATATGGGATCCCAAGTTCATACAAGTTCACATGCTTGTATTAAGTTTCAACTTTGGGAGTTAGGACTTCATTACTAAAGGGCGGACCTGTTAAGGGCCGAGCGGGCTCCCTCTCACTCGATTATTGTAAGAGAAAAAAAATTAGGCATCTGCAAAATGCACCCGCTTGATTTTGAAGGGTGCTCTCAAATATTTTGAAACCAAATTTATAAGAGATACCAAGCACGGGTGAGATGGTTTAGATAGATGAATTAAATTGTGACTTACAGTAGGTTACAGGTTCAATTCCTACATCTAGCAAATATTTAATTTTTATCTTTTAAATTTCGGTTCCTAGGACAGGCCCATGGGCCCAACAATGGTACTACTAAAAATATTAACAGTAAAGAACTAAAGATACAACTACAAGAATCGAACTTACTCACTCACAACCTCAAGTAAATCTATACACATAACTACTGCTACGCCAAGGCAGCTTTTTGTTTATTTCCCCCCATTTTGACTTCATTACTTTTCTTCAGGATTTATTTTCCTTTTCATTGCATGTTCATCTTAAAAGTCACTGTTTCTTACCTCGTTTTCAAATTTCAAGGCAACATATATTTATTTTAATCGTCAAGGTCGATTCCATTTGAAAAAAATGTATTTTATTCCCCAAATCAACACAATTTTGACTTTTACTCAGGTCAAACCGCATTGACTTTCCGTAAAGTCAAAGCTACTTTGTCGACCCTTGATCTTTCCCGCTCAGAAAATTTCATGGGTCCGCCACTGTCATTAGTAAATGAAGAAGTTCATATTATTTCTCTGGTGGTGTGTGCACATCGGTTAGACGATGGAACTAATCTCTAAGTGATATACTTCCCTTCTCGCATGAAAATTGCAATAATTGATTCTACTTTAATGTTAATAATTTGTTTGACTATAAACATAATGTCTAAATTCCTTCTATAGGCCATAGGGGCCATGTTTTTAAATGAGCTTTTGGTTTTCAAATTATAAGTGAATCTTGTCTACCAAACTCAATACCACAGATGCTATATAATGATGAAAATGGGTGCAAATAGGTAAAATTTGGCTTGAAGGTTTGCTGGAGAGAGAAATCTTGCAATTAATGTGGGACATCCAATAGAAATTGTTGTAACATGGGATAGAGCCATAGAGGGATCTCAATCATATTCCAGTGGTAGTACAAACCAGTAGTTTTATGCACTGCTCTTTCTGTTCCATTATTTATTGAAATATTTGATTGACATGGACTTCTATTAGATCGTTTGACTAGTTGTCAAATATCTTAAATACCCTCCAATGATGCCAAAGTAAGGGCATCTTATGGACCAAAATCAATATCACGAATGGGCAAATAGGTAACTCTAAAAATGTTGCAATTATCATAGGAAATCCAAAATGGAAGTGTTCCAATTTTTATGGGATGGAGGGGTCGTTAACTTGACCTTATATGACGGTTTCTCTCTGCCTCTGAAGCAAAAACAAACTTCCAAAAATCAGAAATACTCGGCTTTTGCTTCTTTCTCAAATATTCACCTGCATCTTTATAGGTGCTACTAGTATTTATACTCCTGGTGATTCAGGTTGACCTGTGTTGAAGACCTCACTAAAGCTACAATGAAGAAATTAACGCAAGGAATGGGTCAGCAAAATAAGACAACGGGTACCGCTATATCTAATGAAGAAAAGGCTAGAATTGTGAGTTCATAAATAGCTACCATGTACGTTCCCTCACTTTCTTTTTGGGCTGTATTTCATCATCATAATCTTTGAATCTGCAGAAAATCCAAAAGCAGAATGCCACAACAGGATTGCGCACCTGCAATAACATTTTGGCAATGGCACAGGTAATGGAATTATAATATTTATTTTATGCAAGTGTATACATGCTTGATCTTCCCGTTTGTGTTCTCGAAACCATTTTAAAGGAAAGGGAGGGAACGGAGGGTAAAACAGAAACAGAAACAGAAAAAAAAACGTGTTCCTCTGAACTTTTTAAGAGGGAAAGGAAAGGAATAGGCAGGAAATTATCATTTATGTTTCCTCCCAAATGTGACATCTTAGTAGCCAGAGGAAAAGAAAGCAAAAGCGATTCCCGTAGTAGCGGCGAGCGAAATGGGCCCGAACACAGCTTACAACTTTCATCGTACTGTGCTCTCCAAAGAGCAAGCTTTCCTCAGCCCCTTCTCATCAATGGACTCCTGGCGTATACGAAGGAGACCTGAATCACCCCATCTATTCTCCTGAGGAGGAGCCATGGTGGTTCCCCCCGGACCGCCCGGATCCCACGAGTGAGTCAAAACAGGCCGATCTTCCCCAAGAGCTCACATCGACGGGAAGGTTTGGCTCTGGGTTCGAGTGGCATTTCACCCCTAACCACAACTCATCCACTGATTTGACCTGAGATAATAAGCTCGTGAGCTTGGTCTCCTTAACTTTTCGAGGAATCCTTCATCAGTGGTTGTGAATGACCCATTTTTTCAGGGAAGAAAGGGAGGGAAAGAAAATCTGAAAGGAGTTTATGATCTTTTATGACAAAAATACTCTCATAAGGAAAAGTGATAAAAACAAATATAAAGGGTATACATGTAAATGACATCTTTTCTTTCTCTCGGTTCAAGAACATGAAAATTGTTTTCTTTCCATTCCTTTCTTTTCTTTTCAAGAACACAAATAAAAAACTTACTTCTTTTCCTTTTCATTATTTTCCATCCCTTTTCTTTCTTTTCTTTCCAACTTCGAGAACACGGTGTTAGTAAATTACCCTAATGCCCTCATGTTCCTGGAAAAGAGTTCATTTCACACTTGTTTGTAAAATAAATGTTGGTCACTATACTACTAACTACACAACTGTTCTATTTTTGTCATTGTATCTTATGTTCCTATCCTATTTTAGTATTTCATTTTCTACCATAATGAGAAGAAAATTTCACATTGCCTCTATTACAATGATGCTATTAAGACTCTCGCTAGCGGCAGATATCTCCAACATGTCATTTTCTGACCAAAAAGTAGGAGCAATTGGCAAGATTGAACGGAACATGAAGTACGATGGTCAAGTAAATGAATTTTAGTAGTAGAGTGATAAAAAAAACATACGCTTGAACTTTGTTAAAACAAAACTAATGCCTCTTATTTTTCTCATTTGAAACATTAAAAACGCACAATCCTATAAAGGTACTTGAAAACGATACAGGATCTAACGTGCTCTTTTTTTGGCTTAATTTAGCCGTTGCATTCAAAAGCACCTTCATTTATCGGAGACAAAAGGATTAACCTATCCTGGAACGAAAACGTGAAAACTGTGGGGCCAGCAAACACAGCGGGGTACGTACGACAAACTCTCTATAAGCATCACATTTTTCTAGTGTTGTTTTTTGTATGGTAATTGAAAACTGTCGGTTTGATTAAAGTTCTATACGTTCAGTTTCTGCATATAGAGAAAAGGTCTGCATACATTATGACCCTACTTCATATGGGATTTACTTGGTTTGTTTGGTTTATGTCCAATGGGGCATAATCAAATGAGAACCACAAAAAGATTGAGAACCCTAAGAACTTTTATCTTTAGCCTTTTTTTTATTAACCTGGATATCCAACCCGCTATGCGAGCCAACTAATCCCAGGGCAACCACCTGCTTTGCAGATAGCCCGGAATCACCACATTTGAACCTCCGTGGCCACAAGGGGAGTTTTATTCCTCCTTGGATTTGAACCTGGGACCTCCTAGTTATCTTTAGCCTTTAGGTATTATTTCACATGATTTTTTTCATCGAATGGGGGATTTAATTTATTAACTAACATATACTCCCTTCGTTCCATAATAAATGTCCACAATGAAAAACACACAGATTTAAGAATGTGTAATTATTACACTTTAAGACAATTTTACCCTTAATTATACAGATAAATTTTCCCCATCTCATGATTAAGAATAGAATGGTAAAGTAAACATTTACTTTTGAAAGTGGACACTTATTTTGGGACAAGCTAAAATAGTAATTTAGACACTTATTTTGGAATGGAAGGAGTATTTGTTTCATAATGTCAAACTTTTTTATGCATATTTTTTGTTTCACAACATGTAAAAAAGTTTCACATTGTGAAACAAATATATGTTAATCAATATCTTAAATCCTAGCCTTAGGAGCCGTTTACCTGAGCGCTTACCGGCTCAAACTTACTTTACCGGGTAAGATTGTAGTCCATTAAAATGGTAGTGTATACCAGGTAAAAGTTGTCACCCTCACTTACCGGATAAGACTCTCCATCTTCATCATCGCTCTTACCGAGTAAGATTCTCAGCCCTTGCCATGCTTATTCAGTAAGGTAAATAACCCGGTAAGTGCTTACCGGGTAAGTATTTAGTAAATGCACATTAGATAAAAAGAAAATCGTGAGATAAAACATGATGCACCGGGTAAGTATTCAGTAGAGTATCATGTACTAGAAAGTGGTCTCGTTTTCCTTAACAAATTTCCATTTTTCTTGGTTCCTCAGAGGGAAACGACCTGGTAACGCCCTAAATGGTTCTGGCAACCAAACAAACAAAAGGGGTCGTGGAGGTGGCAACCAGCTCGTTGATAGGGCATTCGAAGGTCTACCATATGGCGGCAGAGGTGGTTTGAGGGGAGGCCAGGGGCGGGGATGGGGTAGACGTGGTCGTGGAAGAGGCTATCGTTAACTTTTGCTTCCCATCTTCGTTAACATAAATAACGACAAAACTGCAATGGAGGTACGAGATGGAAACACAAATCTAACAAAAGAAAAACACGGGCTAATCTCGATCGACACTTTCAAACCTAGATGATTTAGGCGTTTTGCATTTCATGTTTTGAGATTTTTTTTTTCTTTCTGTATTTCCGTTAATTACCTTCCATCGGAGATGATTACGAGCTCTATGGCCAGAGAGCCCGGATGGTTTCTGTATGTGGTTTTTGACGTATTTTAAGAACCGGGTTTTGTAGTCTTCAAACGGATCGAATACGAGCATATCAAGTATCTAAACTTATACATATTTTCTAATCCATTTGTTAAAAGAATATACATACAAGATATATTTGTTTAAAAAAATATACATACGGGATATACAGGGTTGGTTTGGTTATATTTGTTTTAAATTCTACCGTCATTCCTATTGCAAATCTTAGCCAGTATGATCCATTTTTCTCATGGGAATTTCGAGTTGAGTAGGTCTACCGATTTCCAAATGCTCGGGGACCTCCGTCGGACTCACCAACTCCCATCTCGGCGGATTACGGTGATTCCAAACCTCCACAGAGTTCGAACTTTCTGGTGGTTGGATTCGATTTGGGTTCAAGTAAAGGACGATCTGAATAAGTCTGAGTGCCTTCCTCCAACGGTTTTCGTTTCCCCAATGAGAGCCATTGAAGCTAATAATGCGTTGCTCGATTTGATTATGAAGCAACCGATAGAGAAAAATTACAAGGCTTAATGTCGAAGTGAGGCCCGAAATGAGGAATATTCCCCAGAAGTTTGCTAGGCTCAGTCGTTGTGATTCCACCTTTGGAATGCATCTCGAGCTGTTCTGCGAGGTATTAAGCCATTTGTTTTCGAGCTCGCGGATCTGTCCGTCTTGCAAGAGCATTAAAATAGCTTCCGAGACATCATCAGTTATCGGAGAATCTTTCGGGAAAACCTACAAAGATGCACAATTAAAGCCTTTAGTAATGTTTTCATATTTGACGACAAAGACCAGTGAAAGGGCATTGGTCCTGCGGTATCCGAGTTACTGGTAAAACCAGACTCTTAGGAACTCATGTTTCAAACTTTGGTGAAGTGAGACATGTGTGTGAGTATTTGTTGTATATAAATATTATATACTTAAAAAACAGTGATTTTGTATACTCACGAAGCCTAGACCTCCGAATTTGTACGAAGGGGCGACTGCTGTGTACTTGTTGCAATACTCTTCGAGAAAGTATTTTTGATATGGGAGCTCGAGAAAGGCTGCAGATATGCTTCCGTTTTTAAAGTATTCCGGATATTGATCTTGCGTCGATACATTCATGATGTTTTTCAGGTTCAGAACATCCATTAAGTACTCGCTCACGAACGAATCGGGATCGCATCCCACAGATGCGTTGTTTTTCCGTAGCCACTCTATATCTCGTACAGTCGGCTCGAGTACACGAACCGTGAGCATCGAAGTGAGGCTAGCCGTGTAGCTGGACGTTAAGATGAACACGACGAATAGCCATATCATCACGACCACCTTACTATGATTGCTTTGTATCTTCTCTCCTGCATTCATACATTTACGTCAGATAGCTATACAAAAAACTCTACTCTTGATTGAATCATAAAATCAAATCAAACAAAACCCAGTAAATCCTACATAAGGTAGGATTTGAGGGGTAGACCGGACTTTCTAATCTTTTTGGAGGTTCGACTCTAGTCAGTCGACAATTGGGCCCCAAATTTTTTGGGTCGAGGGTCCATCATGGCCCTCACGTAGAGGTACATAAGGCCTAGGGTTCTTTTTATACTGGGCCCGAAATTTTCTAGCCCGTTTTCATTGAGTAAAAAAGGTCCAGACGGGCTTTGGAGTTGAAAAGGGGTTTTGATAAGTTAGATTTTTTGGGCTTTTTCGGGCCAAACTTTCTTAGGCTTTTTCTAGCTTAACAAGATTTTCTAGGTTTCTTCGAGTCGGACATTTTCGGGTTGGGCCTAGGCCCCCCAAACTCTAGACCAGACTTTGGGGTTACTAGGCCCAGCCTTTTTTAGGCCGAACTCGAGCAGGTATGGGCCGAGCTTCGGGCCTGGACTTTTTTTACATCTCTACTCTTAGGTAAAAAAACTCGGTTTCATAAAGAAGCAGATATACTTACTATGAGAGAAGAAAAGTGAATTGAAAGTGAACCATAAAGCAGTTCCAAGTTGTTCTTTCCATGGACCTCTAAACTCTTGGTTCACTTGATGTTCCATGAACCAAACCACAAACATAGTGTAGAACAATATGCCAAATGTGGCTAACCACATCTCAACTGTGAATGGTCTCATAAACTTCCATGCCATATACGGTTCCGATTTCACCGGCACCACCATCGACAACCCCGACTCTGTAAACGGCTGCGTGAACTCCACGTACTTCGACCGGTTAGCCAATATCGTGACGTCACCAACGACCGCGTCGTAATTCTTTTCATCAAAGAAATATGCGTACAAAAGAAACATTAGATCAGGTCTATTCGTATGATGTTTTAAACGTTTTTAAGCATGAGACAGGTTCAGACGAGAACGGTGAATGTTTTGATAACCTGAAAACCAGCTATTTCATGAATTATCCGTGATAAATAACCCTAAATCAAAATTGAGTTTATAGGACGCCAAAATTTTCTAAACATCCTAATAGACCGTTTTATAATACTTAATTTTATAAGACCAAAAAAGATCGTATCATATCTAAAGGCGTTGTAATAAAGTTATAGAACGTTTTTTGACGTCATAATAAGTTTTTAAAGATATTTTTATTAGAAAACGTCGTATTAATTATTTTATAAGACACTATTTAAAAATGTTTTATAGTTATATGACACTTTCTCAAAAGTGTCTATAAAATAGCTAATTGATGTTTTGTATTAACAAGTGTTCTAAAACACTTGTTAATACGTCCGAAAACATCCTATAAACTTATTTACAACGCCTTTAGATAAGATATTTTATTATTTGATCCTACAAATTAAGTCTTATTAAGCAGTATATTAAGACGCTTATAAGTTGGTGTCGTTCTATAATCCAATTTTGTTGTAGTGGCATTTCATCGTTATAAATAGTTAATTTACAAGTTCTCAAAATATGTACGGTTTTGATTTGAACCGGCCCCTTCAATCGATTTGGTGGTGAAATTTACGCGTACCTTATAATAGACTTTATCCACCATATCGTTGTAGGAGCCCGTATGGTTGACGAACTCGTATGATAACGTGTAACCGTATTCCACTTCCAAAGTGGCGACTACCAACTCGAAAACGTCGATACAAAGACCGGAGTATCTGGTCTCGTTCGAACTTTGGATCCATTCCACTTTCACGAACCTATCGAACGACGTTCCATTCGGTACCCCGATCGTCATTTTATTATTATCGTTAGGCATCGCCCATCCTTTCGGAGTTCTGGTTACGAGATCCCCTGGCCAGTGTACGGTTAACTGTCTTATAAGGCCATGGTGACCTACCGATCCGAGATTGTTTGAAAAACCCGACTCTGGTGATAAGAATCCGAGCTCTTGGTAACTTTTTCCGATGATATTCACTAGTCGAAAAACCCGAGGTCCTGATAGCTTTCCATTCTGGAAAGCTATCGTACTAGTCAAACCAGAAAAGTTGCTAGATAGAATAGTATCCAGCAACTTTTCTGGGAAATCATGGTTGGTGTCATCGAGATTTCTTAAACGATCTAATGCTTGTGAGATCATCTCTACGCTATCATATGCACGTATAGCATGGATTCCTGGCTCGAATTTATCTTCCTCGGGATAATTCGATCTGAAAACCGTCTTGAAGTTAGATTTGAAGTCTAGAAATCGTGTGTTGTTGTCGGAATAGTACGTCTTCAAGCCTAGAGCACCTTGCACGAGTCGAAAAGCCGATGGGTCAATAGAATCAAGAAAACTAGAAAATGTATCTCCGAGAATCCAGACCGAGTCTCTCCCGATAAGTCCGAGCTTATTAGCTTCTTCAAATACCCGGATTGTTGTCGGTAAAGACGACCTCAACACGATAAAAACCCGTGATTGTTTTTCCTTCAAGATGTTCACAAGTCTATCACGAATCGTCTCTTTCGGATCAAAAGGTGAAGTGAAATGCGGAACAACTAAACGGTGTTCGATTCCAGAATTAACCATTTCAAGCGACTCAGATAATAACGATAAAGCCCGATATTCGCCACCGTAAACGTTGTCTTCATAAATAACGATAACCCTTTTCCAATTATACGATTGTACGATAGTCGTGATACATTTTATTTCGTCCGACATGTCTAGATCCGTCATTTGCACCAAGAACGGCCATTGAAGACGCGACAGAGGTTGTAAGCTAGCAGCGGTCCAAGAAATAACCGGAATTCGAGCTCGTTCTCCGATTTTCGCTAATATCGAAGCTTCCTCCCATGAATCCGTCCCGATTATCACCCGTACATTTTGCGTGTTAATCAACTCGTTCGCTACAGCATATACACATTCATAAAACTTTAGTTATACAATTCAAGATCGAAAGAGAAATAAAGCTGACACGAATTAAACAGTAATTAACCAAAGGGCATTTGGCTTAGCGGTATATGAGTCTTTGGCCTTCAAAGAGATCAAGGGTTCAAACCTCACCAAAGATGAGGAGAGTGTGTGAGTTTATTTGTTCTATTTACCGTATATAAATATTATATACTTAAAAAAAAAATTAAACAGTAATTAATTCTTTTTAAAATATATATAATCCCACAATGATTCATTTTTATATAATATTGTTTGAAACAGAACATGTAACGGTATAACGGGATTCAACACCAAAACTCACGAACCACACGAAACCAAATCAAACGTGTATACAAACCCGACGTTTCTTGACTTTGAATATCTACAACAAATTCGTTATAATTTTTCATTACAACATAAATTAAGTTTATAGGACACCCCATAATCTCTAAGCGTCCCAATAGACCGCTTTATATGACTTCATTTACAGGACCAAAACATAAAACGTCATATCTAAAGGTGTTATAATAAGTTTATATGACGTTTTTAGGCGTCTTAACAAGTTTTTAGGACATTTTTAATACAAAGTGTCGCATTAGCAACTTTACTCAAAAGTGTCCTATAAACTCATTTTTTATAGGACACTTGTTTTTATAGGACAATTTTTCAAATAGTGTCATATAAAGTTGCTAATGGGACGCTTTATATTAAAAATGTCCTAAAAAACTTAATACGACGTCAAAAAAAAATCATATAAACTTATTACAAGACATTTTTTTTGTCTTATAAATTAAGTCCTATAAAGAAATTTATTAGGACGCTTAAAAATTGAGAGGGTCCTATAAACCCAATTTTGTTGTAGTGTTTTCAATAAAAAATTTGAAAATAAAATTACATTCAATTTCAATAATTTATGCGTTTTGAAGATTTCAACATTAATTATATAATTTTGAATAATTATTTCAAACCTGAAGCAGCAACTTGAAGAGGGTCTCCACTAGAATTCTTGAAATAAACAGCCAACTTGTGGTCCTTGGACCCCGAATTAAGCTTTTGGACAGCGATTTTGATGGCGGTTTTTTGTTCTTTCCCTGCTCGGAAACGTTCGTCGATGATCACTCCGACGTTTGTGGTTCGGGTTTGGGCCACGGTGACGGAAACGTGGGGTAAAGTTACGGATACGAGAAAGAAGAAGAGGAAGAGGAATTTTGAATAAGACATTTTGGGGGCTTAATAATAAGAGGCTGAATGAATGTTGAAGATGATGGTGAATGAAGTGTTTATATAAGACTTGGTCAGTGTGAGGAAAAGTATTTATGAGAAGCATCTGCCAAAGTTGAATACTTGGAGCCTACATATAATCTATAAAACTATCTTTCCAAATCCCTTTGACATTTCTAAAATAAGTTTTTAAATATATTTTGAATTTTTACGGTTGACAAATATTAAATCTTGATTTTATATATATATATATATATATATATATATTAAATCTCTCTCTCTCTCTATATATAGAGGAGCGATCAAATGAAAACCACTCCAATTTGTAAAAACCATAAAAAC